CACTGGGTATAAGTGTTTTCCTTGCCAGGAAAAAAACTGCCGGGATAGAAGAGCTATGCAATTACATATTGGGGATTGGATGGAAATAAATAATTTAGTGATTAATATAGGACGAAGATGATTTAGCTGGACTCCGATATTTGGGAGTTGCGGTAGAGCAAATTGGTTTAACCCCATCAATTATCAAATCTTCATTGCACAGAATTTGACATCATTGGAGAATATTAATTAAGAATTTAAGATATGTTATGTGTGTGGCTGCAGTCTTCTGGAGATTCACATCCCTTGCTTATCATCCTTTGATGCATCTCGTTCCTTTTTTCTAGGGTAAGACCTGCTGCTTCAAGTGTAAGTAAAAGCGTGGGAGTTCTTGATCTCTCTGGCAAGGATAAGTCTGCGGCTGCTAAACCCCCAGGAGGTTCTCTATTCCTGCCAAAGCTGCTCCCACTCCAGGACCAAAGCTGTCTAGCACTATTACACCGATCTCGGAGACCAGAACAAGGAGGCCTGCTAATGGTCAAGGCAGAAGCGAAACACCCATTTCTGACATTTCCAGATCTTCAAGTCGAACGAAGTTCAACATGCTGTCTAAATCTTCATATTGGTTATCCCAGATCAAGGTCTCAGAATCTTCTGCGAAGCACTCAATTTCACTTGGCTTCTTCAAACTAGCGTTGGAGGCAGGATGCGAGGTAATGTCATACATCGAAATGCAGTGATACACAACACGAAAGCATATATTATTTTGTTTTGCTTCATTTCACGCTTCTTCTAAATCTTTCAAGCATCCTATGTCAGTTGAATTTGATGTGTGTTGTATTTAGGCTTTACAAATGGTTTCGGTATTCTGTTCTGGTTTGTTTGTATATCAGTTAACCTATCTTTTCCTTTGTTACTATTTTTACATCTATTACAGCCTTTCAAGAAGATGCGAGATGAGTTAAGTCATATGTGCGCCGACATAATCTTGCTGATCTTGGAGAACCTGTGAAAGAATTGTTCGAAAGCTATAATATTACTGATACTGAAGATAAGACACAACAGTCGCAGATATCTGAAACTATTTCGCAGGTGCCAGAAGAGGGGACCCGATCCTCTGATGAAGATGTGCGCAGCTCTTCTTCTACCGTGGGTACTGGGAAACTCAACCAAAGTGTTTAAACATTGATTCTACTCAAATTTCTTCTCCTGCGAAAGAGTCAGTCAAGAAAGTGACTGGACAGAAGAATAATGGCGGATCCAGGGCGAGAGTAGATGCCAGCAAGAATTCTTCAAATTCAAGATCAGCTTTAGAAACCGGCAGTCGCAGGTCATTGAAAAAATCGGAGAAGCCAAGCAAGCAAGAAGCTGGCAAAGAAAAAGGCAAGGTCATGGAGAAAGGAAAGAAAAGTGAAGTTGAGCAGAGTACGCGTGCATCAATAGCTCTTTTATGACAGTTTATGAGACATTTTTAGCCCTGCTAGTCTAATGTTTTTATGTTTGTATATTTTTTTCAACTCAGCTACTGTTAGCCCTTCACCTCCTGAAGTGACAATCATGGGAGACAAAGAAACATGGTCAGAAGCTTACTATGCAATAATTTAGCTTTTCTGGATACCACTGTAGAAACATATACATGAAGCTAATCTTATTTCCTTCTCTCTTGTAGGATGCTTCTCTAACTGAAGAGAGGGTTTAAGAAGCTCGCGGTTGAACCTTTTAATTATTCCGTTTTCGAACCCCGTTTGTTCTCGTGTTGTATAGGCCTGGTGATTTGGTGAAGATTGTTTCTTGTGGTCTGGCGTCAGAAGACTGTTTTTAATCGTGTTTGGTCGTTGGACATCGTCTGTGTTTGTTGTCTATAATACACATTCTCACAATTTAAAGCTGTATCCAATCTCAAAAGTGTTGTTTTGCTTATCTTTACTTTTTACTCACAGCATCTTTTAAGGGGAACAACCCCTCCCCCCGAGAGAGAGAGGAGGAAGAAGCCCTCATTTCACTAATTCTTGTCTTTCATTGAGTTCACTTTTTTCATCCCTTGATATGTATACAAGGCATAAAACACATCAGGGACATGCAAATCCCTTATACTGGATCGGGATTTAATATTTATAACTCATTTTGAGATTTAATTTGCAAACCATGTTTAGTTTAGCGGGCGTATTTGAGAGTCGAGCTGTATCCCTCGGCCAAAAATAACGAGAAATGATAACGGAAAGAAACATGAAGCAAACTAACAATAAGCCTTAAACCTAAAGAAACATTTTGGTCCTCAGCACCCTTACCGATTTCCTTGCTACTTCCATCCTTGACCGGATGGAGACCAACCTCAATTCCTTCTTCTTCTTCTTTTTCTTTTAAAGAAGACCAACCTCAATTCCAAATTGAGCCAGGAATGGCTAATCACAGTTGGTTTGTTATGTTGGAAACTTTTGGCAAGAAACAAGTCACTTTTCACTGATGCTACTTTCATGGCCCGTGGAGTCCACGCTTTTGTATCAAGGGGTACTGAGAGAACTCTGCTATATATCATCACAGACAAGTAAATAAAAAGTGTGTTAACATTTCAGGCCCAAAAATTCAGTTCAGGCCTAAAACATAAACACATTTTGAAACTACAAGCTAAGAAATCTACCCAAGCAAATACTTCAAACCCTTTGTCATCATAACCAATTCAGCAAACTGAAACTTGGTATTAAACCATGTTGATAACAATTCAATGCAGATTGATACACAGAACATCTATTTTACATAAACAGACTTGAACAATGCATAAGCTATAATCGATTAAAGATGAAATGATCCTAACATTCAGAACAGTGATGAATAAAGGAAATAAGTTGATAAGTTTTCACAATGATTCATAATGGTGGCAGCATAACTTAACACAATTCATCAATAGCTTCAGACAGGCAGAATGCCCACAAGTTTACATGGATGGGGGGCTTAGTCAGCTGTCCAGCTCTGCTCCACAATTTCTCTCACTCTTCGATTGTACTCACGCTTGTTCTCGCTAAACATTCGAGCTGCTTCTGAGTTTGCAGGAGAATTTGGGTTGGGATCACAAAGCAGTGACTGCCAAAAATGATTATCACCTTTCAGAAAATAATAATAAAAAATGGCGGGTGCTGACGACTTCTAGGGGCATAGCACAAACAATTACAATTTAAAACACTTGTTCAACAGAAAACTTCATTTAAAACATGTACAAGTGTCCGAATTTTCAAGTACTTTACAATTAGAAAATTATCCTCACAACAAATTACAAACCAAATTTGAACCAAAAAAAACTTGCCAACCAGCCCATATTGTTCTCAAGACCCATGAACCTGGAACCAGAGTTTCAACTAGTTCAATCACTGTTCTGATTTTCATAATATTGTTCGATATACAGTTCACAACAAGAATTTCTAATATTAACTGTTAATTTCTTAAATCATCCAAAAGTAAGAAAAAAAATTCATAGAATTATTGAACTGTCTTATGGACATCCATAGCAAGACTCACAGTACCTGGTCATGTTAATTCTACCATATACAATCATTTCAGGCAATCAGCAGACATAGCCATTACCTATTGATCTGTGGTTTCTACATTGCGCCTGTTGGATGCATAATTAGGGTAAAACTACCTCCAGTCCTTAATATAAGAACTGATTCACTAATTTGAATAGATTAAGAAAAAATATTATGTTAGTTATTTGCAACAAATGTGAGTTGAATTTCCTAGAATGCCCTTATTAATTATGTATATTAGTTAAAACTAATATTTAATATATGCACTACTACAAAAAAATATTACTAAAATATAAATAAATATGATAGACAAAATACATTAGGGTCTCACATTTAAAACCAAATTAAAAATCGAACTAGCTCTTATATTAAGGACCAGAATCAGTACTAAATTGGTAGTGGCTTGTGCAATAAATATGTCTCGATCATGGACACCATTCTCACATAGCACATAAAATGAAAAGGATTATAAACAGAAGCTAGACAGACCTCCGATGTGTACTTTATACCAACCATTAGGTGAATTTCTCTTGGAGAGTGCCACCAATTGCCTAATGGGCTGCAACGCTCTCACAATTTTTAAGGTTTGATGGTAATTTATTTAATTCTCAATAGGGCTGTGTATTTTGGCCAAATCAGATAGGATGTAGGGTTATTATTTTTCCTGTTAATTTCCATGACTCTAGGAAGATTTAGCAGACCAAACTCTTCCCTTAATGTACCGTTACCACACGCGAATGGATTCAAGTTATTCTGCAGCTAAAATCTTCATGGTATTAGAGCCTGAGATCGTTCCTAGAAGTTCAGCTGAAGCTGAATACAGATATATATCACATGGAATATGTGAGATGGTGTGGATAAGGAGATTGTAAAAGGACCTTGAGATTGAGGTTGATAAGCCAATCAAGGCTTGGTGTGGTGACAAGGCTGCAAGAAGAATCGCACACAATCCGATATTGCACGGTCGGACTAAGCATGTGGAAATTGATCATAAAGGATCAAATTGAAGTAGGAATCATCGAACTCTCCTACATATACGCAAAAGCACAAGTGGGAGATATTTTAACCAAAGTGCTCACCGAGGACAGATTTGAGGCGCTGAGTTCCAACCCCAGAATGATTGGCATCTATTTGCTGGCTTGAGGGAGAGTGTTGGGGAGCGCCGCCAATTGCCTAAAGGGGCTGCGCTGCTGCTCTCACAGTTTTTAGGGTTTTATGGTTATTTATTTAATGCTTACTGGTCCTGTGTATTTCATCCAAATCAGATAGGATACTAGGTTATTATTTCTCCTCTTTATTTCCATGATTCTAGGAAGATTTAGCTGACCCAAAATCTTCCCTATATGTGCCGTTACTATAAGCGAATGAATTCAAGATGCTCTACAACTAAAATCTTCCGATTCACTAAGACAATTTAATTCCAACTGGTAAAATGCAAATGTAAAAAGAAAAGAAAATAATCATTTCTTATCAAGAGAAACAGTACAGCTTGTAGACAAAAGGAATTTCCATAAAGATATTAACTGAAAGTCTGCGACAAATCAACAGAGGCATGGCTTGAGGTTCTTCTTAATAGTCTATATTGAGTCGAGGTGAGATAATACATGGAAAGCAATTTGGTATTGCTATCAGTAGAGAATAGGGGAATTTCAGAGAAAATATGCAGGAGTGTTTCTAGACTCTTTACCTGGCAACCCCCTAAAATAAATAAAATCAACTGTGCATCTTTAACCAGCAGTGATTAGCTGAAAACAAAACGCCGACTTCCTGTTATCTAACCTAGACTTTCAAAGGCATCCAAAAGATGTTCCCACATTTTTCACAAAAGACCCAAAAAAAAAAATTACAGATACTTCATACAAGTAGGTATGAATTACTAGATGGTACCTGGATAGATGTGAGTATAGCAGCCACATCATATATGGGACTCCACTGATTTTGTAATATATCCAAACATATACTCCCATCGGCATAAACTGAAAAGGTGAAATTTTTTTCAAAAAGGCATATTAGTTTCAAGGGGAATTTATGGATTAGGTAAAATTCTCAAGACAAACTTTTTTTGGATGAAACATTCGAGAGACGAATCGTACAGTTGGCGTTTGTTTGGATAATCCTCCGTAAATTGAAGTGTCAACTTAAACGTCCTAAATAACTCAATTTGTAGTTGTGTGAGTATAATTAGTTATGCTGATATCAACTGATAGCAAATACGACATCCAGTGTCCATAACACTGACAGGCACCTCTAAGTAGAGTATCAACTATACAACACAGTAAACAAGTTAAAACCGTGAGAAAATTTTGAAAAGATATCCACAAAATTTAATAAAACTGAATTGCAGAACCCATATATGTGTTCTATAAAGAAAATCTCCTAGCTTCATGATATTACTGCAGAGACCAATCAAGATTCTCAAAATCTTTTAGAAAATATGAGAGGGACGACGCTGAGAGCAACAGGATTGCAACTCCAACTAAGATGCTGATCACGCTAGTCAAACACAAAAGAATCAACAAATTAAAGTAAACCACAAAGTTCCCAAATTACAAGCCCAATTGTTGATCCTCACAAGTACTTTCAGCTACGTGATGTGACGCAATGATTAACTCACCTCCATCCCATGGAGTATCATCGGGGCTGCAAGCCAACAGACAATCAAGAAGAAATTACTTGTTGACATACACTTAAAAAGGAAATAAAGCTAGGTGATATAAAAGAAGTAAAAACAATGATGGATCTTGGTCCAATTTCGTCACAACTCACCCAAATATGACAGCATTCCAGAGCATTATATTGTTGTCCTGAGGGGCACCACTGATTCCTGCAGGTGGATCTTGCTGCAGCCTCTTAAAATCTCTCATCAGCCTCTTCCTAGCAGGGGTCGACATTGTCACTACCTAAAAAGAGCCATGGGCAAAAACGCGATAAATACTTCAATCCATTAAAAAGCAGGCTTCAACATCACTTTTAGTTTACTGTGTCTGAATTTAAATGGTGCACACAAGTTATCATTCAATTGTAATTTGATTGCGTCACAATTGGCAATGGCCAGGAATCAAAATTCAGTCGAGATGTAATCGCAGAAAATCGAACAAGGACAAGCATCTGCTACATAGACCACACACAAGGTAAAGATGGGGGGGAGAACGAGAAAAATAAAGTTTTACAACACATGGTGTTTGTTGCAAGCAATGATTCGGAAATTCAATCCGTCAAAATTTCCCCTTCTCCCCTCTACTGCAACTTTACTCGGACACTGCAACGGAATTCACCCAAAAAACCCCTTGCTACAGCTTCATATTATGGCCAGCTAAAAAGCATAAACTTTCAGCGACACAAAAATCTTTCATTTCACAAGACTAAGAAAAAAAAATATAAAAACAAGGCTTTGCGGCTTTGATCCAGAACTCCAGATCATCCGTGTCAATCTCTCATAAACAATCCCCAGGAAAACAACCGTGTAAACTCAAAACGACGAGAAAAAAAAAACGAAGGTGAAAAAGGCGATTCAACGAACAGAATTTAAAAAAGAGTTGTCTCACCCAGAAAAAGGTCCGAAATTAAAGAAACTAAGGTCGCCGAGAGCAGTTAATAGCTGCAGGTGAGCCGACTCAGTCTGGTATGAGTGGTACGATCATCCAAATCAGAGTTTCAGTGAGATGGAGCGAGCATTACGGGAAGACCCTGAGAAGGGAGTCGCTCGTTTCGTTTGGTTTGTCGCACAGGAACAAGGGGTTCGGCCCTACGGCAAAGCTTGATGGGACGTGTTTAGGACCTTAGCTATGTCTCCTTATTTTTTCCAGTTAAATTAATTCTTTTTTCAATAAAAACTGAAATCCTATTCCCCATCAATCACCACCTCATGGACAAAAAATGGTGGGGCTGATGAATGGTATAAAAATTAAACTCCAAATTATGTGAGTCTCGTTGAATAATCTACGCCATTAAGGTTTCTTTTTCTGAACAGACAGCAACTTTCGATTCTTTATGAACAGAAATTCTAATATCGTCAACGATGTTTTCAAAAAAATTAAATTGATGACCTCAACATAATTAATATTTGATCAGAAAAACACAATTAATAAAAACGACGATGCTCTTAAATCTCTTTGATGAGCACAAAGAGCGACGGTTTATAATTCCTAGTTCAGCAGTGGCGGGAAGAATGTCAGTGAAACTACCACTACACCTACACATCCGGTTCTCTTTAATATTTCAAACCACGGCAAGCTTTATTGTCACCTTTACCTTCTTAACAAAACAGCAAAATTTGACCTACAAGAGTTGGCCCAGTTAGTAAGAAGTAGGCTCATAATTTATAGGACCGTTAGTTCGAATCAACAAATACAAAAGTGACTATCAATTATATGAGAAAGTTTAACTAAATGAGTATTTAGATAGAAACTAAATTATGATTTTAAAAGTGTCTTTACGGTTTATGAAATAAATATGTGAAAAAATTTGTCTCATTTTATGAAAAAGTGTTTCTTGAAAACATTTTTTAGGATTGCCAAACACCTCTTAAATAATCAGCAGTTATCATTTCATTGCTAAGAAAATATTAATCAAAACACCTCAATCCCATGAATATTTGGTGCGTGTGTGTATCCTCATTTGGTCATTGTTGTTTTGTTCTGTCATTTTCATAAATTAAGAGAAAAATATGCTCAATAGTACAATCTAAATTGTAATTTAAGTGATTTTTGAATTAGTTTGTTTTAAATGATTTTACATTGTATAAGAGTTTAGCTAAATAAAACACGGAGAAAATTTTTTATAAGCGATTGCCCGTGTTTCCGAGTGAGCATCAACGGAAAGGATTATTTCTTTTAATAAATCTTAAATAGAAATATTCATAGGCTTGAGATAGATTGTGGAAACGGAGCATATATGAATATATAAATGGTGGACATGGAGCCGTAAAATTGAGATGAACAGGGGAAAAACGTATTTTATTTAGGAAAAAATAGAAATATTTAGCCCCTAATGCACGTATCTACTAAGGGGTTTATTTTCCATTCAACCCAAACATGTTAACTTTTATACAATTTCTCATGTTCTTAATATTTTATTTTTATCCTAAATATAAAACCTTAATTTACTTTATCTTTTATATTTATTTATTTATTTTAAGGTTGTCATTGTAATAATAATAGTTCTAACCAACATATTTAATTAGCAATAATATTTTAAGCAAGACAACACATATTTATTATAAACAAACTAATTTAACTCATTTTCTTAATTTACTCAAATTACTCAACTAACTGTTATATTAAGCACTAGATGTAAGATAAGAGTTAATTTGATTTTTAATTTGATCTTAAATATAAGATCTTAAATCTACTTTCTCTCTCATATTTATTTATTTTTTTAAAAGTATCCCTTACAGTAATTGCATGTGTTAAATATTTCATTAAATGATGGTTCTAGGTAAATAAGCTAATACACATAGTTAGCAATAATATTTTAGAAAAAATGATATCCATTTATTACAAATAACTAATCTAACAAACTTTCATACCATTGATACCATTGATGCATGAAGCCACCAACAGTATCAGGCCTGGTCTTCCATTTCTATCACTTTATGAGTAATTTTAATTATTTCAACTTCTCTAAGCTTATATTTTAATAATTTAATATAAATTATATTTCTCAACCTCTACCTTAATACAAGTTCCCCTCCCTAGTTTAAGGGCGAAAAGCTTATGTCTCAGTGTAAATTTACAATTTTTTGTACTTTTAAAGAAAATGTGCATTAACTCATCAAAAAAAAAAAAAGTGCATTAATACATGCGATTTGTGATTACGCGGATAAATTTGTTGTGGTTATAATTCACACCAGATCATTACTTCAAACAATACTAAATCAATTAAATTTACTATTTTTTCCGTTGGCAAAAAAATTAAATTTACTATTTTCGTATCAATTATTAAAATAATAGATTATTGATAGAGTTTGTATCTACTCGGAAAACGGAACCCAAAAACTAGATTGTGTTACCTGTGCGTTGCAAGGGATGCATGTAATTCGGGAACTCCAACCAATTCAATTGTATTTCACAATAGAACATTACAATAAATAAAACCTCCTAATCTAACATTTTTTATGCGTTCTCTGCATGATCAGCAGAGAAATTATCAAAATTCATCTTCTATAAGAGAAGATGATGGACAACAATGATGGAAAAATGAAGGTTTAGAAATGCCTAAATATACAAGAAACATCTTTTGAAATCATGGCGGATCAGACCCATGAAAAACATAGCATAGCTTTTCTGGGCAATCTGAATATATCAGCAACATAAATCTCTGAAAAAATGGAATGCAGATAAGTGGACAAACATAATTACAAAGGTATTAAATGAGAGCAGTTACACATGCTTGTAACTCCAAACTTAGCAGCTGCCTTTTTAGTGCTGACCCAAGAAGACATCTCTCCCGTGAAATACTATAAACTTAGTAATACGGCACTCCATGTACGCAAGAGTTTTGATTTTCAAATATTTGTCAAGAATCCTATTCACAACACAAAGGGACGAGTCCAACCATCCACATCACAGTATGAAACAGTTTACACAGCGCTCCATGGACCTGGCAATTGCATTCAAAACTGAAGCAGGTTGTCTAGGCAGGATCATTGTAGACATATTTTCCTCTAGAATATTGAGGAATTGTCATTCATTTATCATAATGTTTTTTTTTTTAAATATCCAGAATGAGGGAATTAAAATCATTCCTTCATAATGCAAGTGCCTTCCTAAAGCAAGTGTTATAATATGAACTACTGTTCTCTTCACTAATGAAAGAGCCTTCCTAAACCTTTGGCATAATTTTTTTCCCAAATGATTTTCTTACCCATTTATCAATTACAAGTCCTTTACCACCAACTCGATACAAAATAAAACGGCTTTAGATAATATATGCGCGACAAAAGCTAAGACAGTTATGGTTCATAAACTTTTAAATTTAAATAAAAATTCGGACATAAACTTTTAAATCTAAATAACAAAATGGGACTTCGAAATACTCCTAGCAAAGATGCGGGATTTCTGAAATTAAAAAAAACAAAAAAATAATGTGTTGAGTAACCATTAATAAAGAATATGGTTCATAAACTTTTAAATTTAGATAAAAAATTCAGGTCAAAGAAATTTAAATAAAAAAATTTAATTCAATATTTTACACAGCAAGGTCGTAAGTTCTTATTTTTGTTCAACAAATTAAAGAATCAAAATTCATGGATAAAGTATAAACTTAGGACAGCTTAACCGCAGCTCCTAACAGTAAAAACAGAATTCCTTCAAGGTCATAGTTATTCTTTTCTTCTTTTTTTTTTTATTACTAAAATATAGGTATCCTCTTATTGGAGACAATTCCATTCGAGGCACTATCGGGTACTAAATGTGGACACTTCTCTCAGCGAGAATTCAAACCTTAGTTCACCACGTTAGAGGAGACTAGCCTCTTTTGCTAGACCCAATCCTTGTGACATGGCAAACCAATCTTAAACCCATTTGCCTGACTCTTTCCGTCACACACACCTCATGATTAGCATGCCAAACCGGGATACGCATCATCCTTTCCCAAACGAGACTCCCAAATATGGAAAATCATGAAAGATTTATATTAAACAAGATCAAGCTTAGATAAACACCAGAAATTAGGGGTGAGCAAAACCGAACCGTAACCGAAAACCGAACCGAACCGAATTCAATTTCGGTTTTTCGGTTCGGTTATTTCGGTTTTCGGTTATATATTCGTTTTTATTTTTTAAACAATTCGGTTTCGGTGTTCGGTTCGGTTAGTAGAAAAAAAATTCGGTTATAACCGAATAACCGAAATAAATATATTATATATTTATATTTAATAAATATTAGTATAATAAATATATATGTGGGTATATGTAAACTTTTTAAATATATTTATATTCAATAAATATGGTTATAATAAATATTATTATAATAAATCATATTGAATCATGAAATATTTATTAATTAATAGTTGTAATTGTGTTTTATTATTATTTTTAATTTAAAATTATTTTTTATATTTATATATTTCGGTTAATCGGTTAACCGAACCGAAATTTTCGGTTAATTCGGTTTCGGTTAGTTCGGTTAATCGGTTTCGGTTTTTAAAATTTACTCTATTCGGTTATTCGGTTAGTTCGGTTATCACCGATAACCGAACCGAAAAACCGAATACTTACCCCTACCAGAAATTTCTCCCCGTGCACAGATTAACCCATTTGATTATATTTAAAAGTTTAATAAATTGTATTATCTAAGATAGTTTAAAATTTACTTCTAATAGGAATATATTTTTTTATTCATTTTAATGGAATTTGAATTAGAGATACGGAATTGATAAGAAATAGATAAAAATTTAAAATTATTTATTTATTTCTCTATTTAAACCTCTTATTAACATGCTATTTAATTATGATACCTCCCATTTAATTTAATGTATTCAAATTTCAATTAAAATATTATTCAAATTCAAAGTTAATCATTAATTTTTTCATTTGAATCTCTATTTAAAATTGTATTTATTTATAATGTTTCTTATTTAACTCAATATATTCAAATCTCAATTAAAATGTTATTTAAATCTTATTAATTAAATATATTTGGATCCTATAATCTCATATTTAACTTATTTTTAAACGAATCAGATATTATAAGTTTTTAAGAATATAATAATTAATGATTGGTTGATTGACGATGATTAGTAAATCCCAATCATAT